ATTTTTATAATTAGACTCCTTAGATTTACTTTCTTTGTTCTTTTTTTCTTTCTGTTATTCTCTGCAAGCATAAAAAAACTTACTAATAATTGAAATAATAATAAAAATATCTTATAAAACTTTTAGTAGTAAAGTTTAACCTTTCTACTAAAAATATAATTAATTTAGATTTTAAAAATATATAATTTAATTTTAGTTTAAAAGATATATTTAAGTTTATTAAAATTAAAGTTAATGCTTGGGTTTAACTTAACTGTCAAACTTATTTAAAAATATTACTAAAAATTATTTAATATTGAAATTTTATCTGTTCTTAAAAAAAAATTAGTGCAATTTTATCCCAATTGTTTAAAATTTTATCAAAGATTTGCATAAAACGTAAGTTAGACACTTTTTTTTATAACGCAAGTTAAATCACAGCGATTATTTTTTATACAGTAATATAATTTTAATAATAAAATAATAAACTTTTAATAAATAAAGTAAATAAATTAATGTAATTTTCTTAAAAATTCTCTTTATTTTTTAAAGACTAACTGTTTTAAATTACTGCAATAATGTTAATTGCCACAAAACAAGTTAAATGTTATTTAACAGCTTTTTTATTATTACTAAGGGAATGTTTATTTTCTTTTTTTTTTAATATTAAATAATTAAATTAATATTGCATTTTTAAAAATGTTTGATATTAATAAATTTATTTATTTTCTCGACATTTCCATAAATGAAATAAAGTATGTTAAATTTTTGAATTTTTAAAATGATTATTTCTTATATTTCTAATTGTGGCAAGTAAGTGACCGGGGCCCGACCCCTGCCTGGGCTAAAAATGAGACTTTTTTCAAACCCAGCCCTGGCCTCGGCTAAACTATAAGATTTAGCAGGGGTTGATAGCCGAGGTTAGAAAAAAATTTATAATACTTAATATATTATAATTTTATGCTTACATTTACTATTTATTAAATACTGGCATAAATTTATATATTTTCAAACTCTAATTTACTTCCAACAAGATTGCAAGCAACCACTATTAAATTATGAATTACTTTAAAATAGAGAATAAGTAAAAATACTAGGAAATGGTTAACCAAAGACTTGAAAAGTTATAGCTTGTATATATAAGAAAAACATGAAGATAAGTAAAAGTTATGAGATTTTTTTGATGTACAAGAAAGAAAAACTGAATTAGAAAAGGGTTTTGTAGCATGAAGGGACAGATAAAGTAAAAGGATGCACCTTATTGAATAAGAAACAAGCAAGAATGAGTTTTTTTTTATCCTAATAGAGATGACAGCTTGTTTGAGCATTGATCATGATTGTATTTGTAGAAAAAAGAAAAAAAACACAACCTTACAACAATGGAAAAGTGGCTCAAGCTTGGGAGAAAAAGCAGGTCTAACTACATTTACAATGTATTTTTAGACTTTGTCTGACAGTAAGAAGGTTGTTATTTATCAATATAGGAAAGCCAACAATATTGCAATATTTTTTTGGCAGTAAATAAATGAGTTTTGTTGTCTAACAAAAGTTGTTGATTTTAAATCCAGGCTTAAAATCCACAAGCCACTTTGATCCCTAGGCTGTTACAGAAAAAAGTGAAGACTTTTTGTCAAGGAAAGAGTATTAAGTTGAGTCGTCAGGAATTAGAGCCACTTTAGATATCACAAAGATTTTTATTGTAGATAAGAAACAATACAGGAGCAAAGGTAGAACTATGTGGCACCCTTAAAGTTACTTGGAATAAGGATGGTAGGCCTTCAAACCTACCATCTTTATTCCTTTTAACTACTGCAGTTAGAAAAAAATCATTTAATAACCTAAAAACCTTAATATAAAGAAACTAATAACATAGTAAAAGCTAGTTGTAGGATAGTTAGAGAGGTCAAAGTGTTTTCTATATTTTCAAAAAATTGGAACCACAATTATTTAGCACTTTATAAAAGTTTAGCAATAACTGAAGAGAGTTCTGGAGAACACTTTATAAAAACTATGATGGAAATCTATTTCAGAGCACAAACTATAGAAATATTTAATTAAGCATTAACTTTAGAATTGAAAGCCAGAGTGATTTGGATAACAATAGGTTAATCTGGTCAACTGTCAGGAAAAGTATGGCCATTATATTCAAAGTCAAATTAGGGTAAGATTTCTTTGCAAAAACTCTGCTTTATTCTGGGGAGAAGTAAAAAGTTCAGACACATGAACTAGAGATTAAATCTTAGACTTACTTTGGTTAATGATACTGTTGAAGACTAACCAAAAGTCTCTGGAACCTAACATCTGAGATAAGATACAAGATTTAGTAAACTGAGAATAACAGAGCTTAACATCAGACAGGACTTATTTACATTAGCTTTTTGCAATAATTAAACTAAATACGTGAAAAATGTGGAGTAGTATGAGGCTCAACTTAAAGTTGAAGAGAAGTAACAAAAACTTCCAAACATTTATTCCAGAAGGAAAAAAAGCTTCCAAGATGCGCTTTATGCATACATATTATGGATATAAACATATCTGCTTGTTACTTATTTAGATGCAGGCATACAATATCCTTTTATTGTTATATAAACTTTAGTATTTATATGGATTAGTATTTGCCAAAAGGGAAGACGATCAGATGGATGTGTGGTGTGACTCAAGCAAGACAAAAAAAGAAGGCATAACCTTAGACAGATTCGAAAAAACGTTTGTTAGAAAGATTAAAGTAATTTAGACATCAGCATGTAGAGAGATACCAGCTTCAGTAAAAAAAATTAGCGAGTAACAAATTAAGTTAAATTATTTACTTTATTTTTTAAAAGTTCATTAGTTTATTATTTTATTATTAAAATAATATCGCTGTATATTGTTTAAAATAATCACTGTGATTTAACTTGCATTATAAAAAAAAAGGTTTGCAAAATTTTGAAGCAGCCGTTTATTTAAAACTTAGTATTTAAGTAAAAAAAAATGTTTAGGAAGGAAAACTGAAAAAAACAAGTGTGATAAAAATGTTGTTTTTTTTTAAGAACAAATAAAATATAAACATTGAATAATATTTAGTAATATTTTTAAATGAATTTGCCAGTTAAGTTAAACCCAAGTATTAAGTTTAATTTTAATAAACTTAAATATATCTTTTAAATCAAAATTAAATTACATACTTTTTAAATCTAAATTAAATTGTATATTTTTTTTATCAGAATAAAATTATATATTTTTATTAAACTAGTTTTAAATCAAATCATATATTAATCAAACCAGAATTAAATTATGTTTTTATGCTTTAAGCTTAAAAAAAAACCAATCATAACAACAAAATAAAAACAAAATAAAGATAAACTTTTAATTTCATTTTAGTTTGTATATTAGTAAATAGCGCTTATATCAAAGATAACTGTCACTCACATATTTGTAACAAATATTTTTACATATGTCATTCAAAAGTTAATGTGACTTTTTTAAAAATTAATTACTTCTTTTATCTTACCACTTATTGAATAGTTTAAAAGTTGAAAAAATGATAAAAAGTTGCTTAACCGAAATCGCTTATTGCTTATGTAATGCCCGCTTAAGGCGTACATAAATCACTCTACACATAACGCTTTAAAACAAGTTCTGTATATATATATATATATATATATATATATATATATATATATATATATATATATATATATATATATATATATATATATATATATATATATATATATATATATATATATCAGACCTTGCGATAAAGCGTCGGGCGATATGAATTTTACGTCGTCCAAGAGCGATTTTGCGTGTAGCTAGGGCTATTTGCGTCGAGCAAAAAAATTTTTGTTTGAGTATACTTTTTAGCAGAATTTTAATGAAGTAATTTACGATTATTTTAACATTTAATAAAGTATTTTAAAAACCATACGCAGTTGAAATAAAAGTTTGAATTAAAAAAAACTAAAATATGCTCATTATTTACAAGTAGAAAAAATTCAGATTAAAAATAAAGTTTTATAAAATTTTAATAAAATTATTCAGCAATAGCAAAGTTGTCGATAAAACTGAATAAAAATACTTTCTTTTAGTTTTAGATTTTAAACTTAAATAATTATTTTACAGGGGTTTGTTAGGTTTTAAAATTATTCCATAGATTTAAAAATATTTATTAACTGTTAGACTTATTTAAAGTATTTAAGAGTAATTTCAAGGAAACATTTTAAAAATTGGTGAGCGCAAATAAAAAAAAAAAAAGGATTAATATTAAAGCGTTTTCTACTTGATTCAATAAAAAAGTACAGATATTAAAATTTTTGTAAAAAGTAACTCAAAAAAATTACTTAAATAATAACGATCGCTTTTATGTTAAAAGTTACCGAAACTCAACGAAGCATGCACAAGAACAGCTGCTGAAAAATAAAACGCCAATAGTTTTTCGAATAATTTTTAATAATAATTTTTAAGAATAATTTTTTCGCTGAAATATTTCTTTTATACCTATAAGATTTTTATTCTAACATTTTATTTTATTTTACTAGAAATAAAATTCCTTGTTAACATTAAAAATCTACTCAAAACGTTCGTTTAGGTTTCTTATTAATACCAGTGATTGTGCTTATCAACCGCTTTATGAAAATAAATAAAAATAAATAAATAAATATTATATAAAATCGCTTGTAAAAATATTAGCTATTGCACAATTTTTAATCGTACAATATTAAAATTTCCAGTTTATTACTCGTTGACTTTTTAAAAAGAAAAAATAATTATTTGAAAAACTTTAAATTACATATTTAAGAAAAAAAAAAATCAAATATTAGCATATTTTATAATCTTTTTTAAATTTAAGTTATAATGTTTTTTATTCGTTAAGTATAGACAAAACGTGACAAACGTCGAGAAAATAAACAAATGTTTTTACATTTTAAAAAACAATATATATAAAAACGTCATAACTTTTTGTAGAATTATTCAATTTTTATAATTTCTTCACCTTTAAAATATTATATAATAATAATAAGTTAATATTTTTAGATTACCTTGGAATACAATTTGGAGCTGCATTTTCTACATCCCACTCTGTAAATAATTTCATTGGTCTAATAGGACCTTTAAGTTGCTGCATTTTCAGATTTTTTTGAAAAAATCTACTCTACCAGTAAAACTATTGTTAACTGAAAAGCAGCCACTAAAGGGCATAGGTCTACAGTACTAACATTTTTAAATACGAAAACCAAACCAAGTTTAACATTAAATTTAAAAAATGCTAGACAACTCCCTTGCTCTGATGGTAGAAAAACACGCCAACCATAGACACTTTTATTATATTGTGACTGCAACTATTTCGTATACATCGTTTAAAAAAATGATCTTTTCTAAAAACGAAACAGTATAAATATATAAAGGAATTAAAAGGGGATAAAGCATACTCATAACAATAGCAATTTCATAAAAATAATAAATCTTCAAAACAAAAATAAAGTTAAAATAAACCCGACATTTTTAAAAATGTTTTTGCCTAATCGTAACTAAAACGAGCATTAAAAAAAAAAAAAAAGGATAAAAGCGCACAAATTTAACAATTTTAATAATAAATCTTAATAACAAAAATACAGTTAAAATTAAGCCGACATTTTAGATAATGTTAACCCCCAGCCAAAATATGATAAGAGTTAAAATAATAATAAACGGGTTACCAGCCGTTTGCTTTTGCTGGTTACGGTGTATTACTCAGTTTTGTATTTATTACTTAGTTTTGCTCAAGATTTCAAAATAAAAGTTTTAGAATGTATTTTTTAATAATCAAACTAAACTGATAACCAGAAAGGAGCTAAAGAGTAGCTAAAAGTGACCTAAACGGTTATTTCTAAATGCGTATAAATTCTTAAGTAGGTCTAAAATGCTTATAAAAATACTTAAATTTAATGATATTCGACTATATTTATCAAGGATATCAATTTGATATCCTTGATATCAATATCAAGGATATCAATTTGATATCCTTGATAAATATAGTGTTTAATATTTTCATATAAACTGATGAAGAGAGTTTATTTTCCATATTCAGAATTCTATGTCCTCAAAGCAGATACTTTGGTCAGGGCCGACGACATGGTTTCAAAGTGGAGGGGCACAATCGTCAATTTCTAAAAAAATCCTCCATATCTAGAAATTTCTGGGGAAAAAAAACTCCTTTAGAAAAAAAGTGGAGGGGGAGGAGAGGATAGTGCCCCCAGTCCCCACCTTCCCTCCCGGTGAGGTCGGCCTTGTTGGTATTAAAAATAAAAAGGCGAATAGATTGACTGTAAATACCACTTTAATTCTCGAAAAGATACATCAGTTATGATTATTTGTATACCTGGTTGAATGCATATTATGCCGGATTTATTATGCCGTACCAACTTAAATTTAGTCGAATGTATGTTTCAATCCGGTTGGATTAACTTATTATGTCGGACATATTAAAAAGCGCGACGTTCTGCGAATAAATTCAAAGCATCAGGAATTTATATAAATATCTATTATCTAGCTATAAAGACTTATTTTAATATTCCTATAATTCTAAAGCGAATAATGCATAATAGGCTTTAAAACTATCTTACACAATAACAAAAATTCTAAATAATAATGAATTCAGGTATGAATTCAGAAAAGAGCACTCAACAGATCATGCGGTAATTAAATTATTTATAGAAATTTTAAATGGGGTTGAAAACAACCAATATACTCTTGAAGTTTTTATTGACTTCTCATAAGCCTTTGATACTGTGGAACATGATATTTTTCTTTAGAAACTTAAAAGTTATGGAGTTAAAAATAATTATTTTCAGTAAATTTTTTCCTATCTTAAAAGTTACAAACAATCTTATGAAAAAACCGGAGTTCCACAGATATCTATTTTAGGGACTCTATTGTTTATTATTTATATAAACAATATTTACTTATCATTCATTATCATATTTTTCTGATACTTTTAAGTAAATACGTTTCCTATGTTTAGTTTAATAATATAATTACAATAATAATCATTTTTTTATTCTAAATTATCATTCTGACAAATAAATCAAAATGTAACATTTTAAAACTTTAAATTTAAATCATTTCCGAATAAAAAAGACTATAATACTATTGGATAAAGATTCTGGTCCTGATATTAATTATTAAAATAACAATCAACTTATTAGAAATGTTGTTTCAACGAGTTATAACCTAGAATCTGAAAACTTTACTGAAAGATTGGGTTTGGAAAAGATAATTTGTTAATACTTTGCATCTGGCCATAAGCTTACAAAAATATTTTGATTTATTCAAGCAATCATTGTACAAAATCAAAATTAACTTTCAATGAACTTGTCTCAGCAAAACTTGGTGTCGTGATGTTAATATTGAAAATAATTCAAATTTTCTGTTATTATAGAGCAATTTATAAATCTGAGAAGGCATGTGGTCCTTCTCAGATTTATAAATTGCTCTATAATAACAGAAATTATTCATTTTTATAATCAAATCAATGCTGTTTAACATATAAAGGATTTATGCTCCAACAATTACAAAATATTATAAAAAGCTAATATTTAAATTTATTCAAGAATAAATTTTAAATACTGATACAAGATTGAATAAAATGCATGGACTTCTTGAGAGATTTTAACTTCAGCATTTTTGAGTATGACGAAAAAAAAAACTTCAACTGCATCTTTTTTAAATGCTTAAAATTGAGTTGCATGAGAATCTGCTGCAGTCTGCGATCATTTTTAAACCAGGAGATTTTTCACCTTGTTAGAAGACCGAACCAAGGCACCGATTTTTGTTCAAGCCCTTAGTAAGTGCTTTGGTAACAATGAGTTCTGAAAAAAATTCAAATAAAGGAGTTACAAAAAAACTAAAATAAAAGAACTATTCTTTAAAGTAAACTATTATTAAAGTCGAAAAAAATAAACTTTTTTTTAGAAATTTTACCAACAAAAATTTAATTTTAAATACTTTTAAATTTTTTTTTTAGAATTTTAAAATAATTTCATCTACCTTTATAGCTTATTTAGTTTCAAAGATATTGATGTTTTAATATTTTCATCACTTGGACTTCTTTTTGAAATATTTTTCTAAATGTCATTAAATTTTTGGCATCAAAGGTTTAAAAAAAAAAAAAAATGAATATGTGAAACTTAAACTGAAGTTTTGTTAGAAATAAGATCATGAATCCAAGTTGTTTAAACAATTCATTTTGGGGGTTTACGAAAACTGACTCTTAAATATAATTTTTTTGGAGGGTGTGCGAGCACGGATTATTAAATTACCAAATAACACAAAAAAAAATGTTTAAAAATAAGTTTTGAAGATTTTTAAATGTTTCATTTTTTGATAAGTGTAACAAAACTTTGGGGAGAAATGTAAACTTGAATTAATTTTGTCTGAACTTTCTTCAATAAACTATTAAGTGAAAAATGGATACCCAAATGACACAGGTCCGAAACGTCAAAATACCTAAAGACAAGTTTTTATCATTATTATAGATTCTAAATAAACTTAACTGTATAAAGTCTACAGGTCAAGCTCTAAATAATTTATTATTTCCCGCGCTTCTAATAATACAAAAATAAATGAAAAACTCAAAGAAATTAGTGATCGACCGAAATTGAAAAAAAGCCGAAACCGAAAGTGCGGATACTCTAGGTGCTGAAACCGAAATCGACATTTCAAAATTAATTTCATTAGAAAAATTTATTGAAAAAAATGCTATTTTACATTTGTTGTTTTTTTTTGTTTCGTATTATGTTAGAATTAATAACATGAGTATTACAAATTGAGATTTAATACATAAGTTGGCGATATCCTAACAAACATTTGGTCTAAGAAACACGTAATAGACGTTTTTTATACGCCTAAAAAGCGTCTTTTTTAGACCGAATCTTTGCTGGGATAAGTTAAGAGCGAAAGTTAACAACTGGCAAATTTTATCATAAAAACAAGATTTTTTCGAGAGACTCTGTAAAAATTTTAAAAATTCTTAAAATATTTTGTGAGAATTATCAAAAATAACTGTTTTTCTAAATTAAATAAAAATTTAATATGTTACAAATTTTTCGGTTTTCGGTTTGTTTTTTAACCGAAATTTTACTTTTTACCGAATTTACAAAAAGCAACTAATTCGAAATTTCGATATCGGTTCATATTGAAATTTCGTCCGAAACCGATACTGAAACAGAATTTCGGTCGATCACAAAAAGAAATCGTTTTATTTCTTTGTGTTTAAACTAAATTAACAGATATAGTAAACGGATTATTTTACAGATTGTATAATTTTTTGAGTTGCAAAAAATATCTTAAATGCATCATTTTGTTTTGAAAAAAAAAAAAATGGTGCGTTAAAGATAAATTAAAGGATAGTTAGCAACATTGAACGTTTCCTACACTTTTTATTATAATTTAAGAAAATTTGGAGCTTTTTTTTTAACATATACAAGCCATGATAATACAATATGTATCTGGTAAATATATCATTTTTGTTGTTGTTATTGCTTATCATTTTTGTTGTTGTTATTGCTTATCATTTTTGTTGTTGTTATTGCTGTTGTTGTTGTTATTATTGTTGTTGTTGTTGCTATTATTGTTGTTGTTGTTGTTGTTGTTGTTGTTGTTGTTGTTGTTGTTGTTGTTGTTGTTGTTGTTGTTGTATAATACATAATTAAAGATAGAAAGTATAAATTTTGTTTCTTTAACTATGATTTTAAAGAAAACACTGATTGATAACTAAAACTCCATGTTAAAAACTTATGCTTGCTCTAAGATAAATCGTAGAGTGATTGATCGGTTGATCGATCATCACAATTAAATTTTCAAACGAAAACTGAAAGAAAAGAAGATACGTTTAAAGTATGTTTTTAGCAATTTAAAAATTAATTATTATTTGTAAATTTCTATTTTGATTTATTCAATTCAAAATAAAGAAGAAAGAGAATGCTCGAGTGAGAACTATTGGTGAGAAAAGAGTATGTTTCTGAACTATCTATTGATAGAAAATATTGTCCGGTGAGGTACTGGAAGCAAAAAGACTAATTTCTTCTTTTAAAAACAATTCCTTCAAAATACCAAAGTACACCAGCATAATTTCATATTTTCTGTAACCTTTTTTATTTGATTTTAAATGTTTTTCACAAATCATCAGGCATTCAAAGTTATATCCAAGGTAATTTTAATCTCCTAAATTCGAGAAAGCTGTTAGTTTTACAATACTAATACTTTTACACAAAATAATATATTATATCAAAAAATTTTAATTTATTTTTAAATTTATAGACTATTAGAAGAAGACTACTAAAAAGAATGAATTTTTTTACCGAAAAATTCATTCTTTTTAGTAGTCTTCTTCACAATTTAATCATAAAAAAAAG